GGAATGCTGATTTTCAATTTAATTCATTCCAGGAAAAACACTGTAGTCTGTGAATGGCAACACAGAGACCCAGGAGATGGCATTCACATCATTACACCTAGCAAATTTTAGTTAAAAAAAAGTTCTGTAAAACTTTAAACTAGATGGTAACCATAGATTTAACTGTCATTCCTTATTCTTTAACCCTTACAAGTTTGAATATACTGCACAAAGGTATCATTATGATCATGTCTTGGCAAGCATGCCAAGATGGAATTTTACCTCCCAGTGTCCACAACAGTGACTGAACCATGTTTGAAAGGCTTAGATTCACTTCCTTAGCGTGTGCTAAGTGTCCATTGGAATTTTGGCAACTGAAGCTCGGATATTTTAGGACCAGTGACCTATGCTCTCAAGCTAAAATTGTCTCAGTCGTTTCTAGCTGCACAAGTATGTTTTATGGAACTGCATATTAAAGTGGCCAACGGTTAGCAACTGCAGACAGTAATTTAAGTGTTCTATTATCCTGTTTGATCGATCATTTTGTTTAAAGTGACAAAGTCAAAGTTTTTTTTTTTTTTTCCCCTTCCCAATCTTGCTGTAGTGACTTACTTTAAATGATGTCTCTTAATCCGATCATCTTTACTGTCCTTTTCAGCTGTCCCTCCAGCCCGGTTGCGGGTCTCCTATCCAGCGTTGACTCCTCTGTCCTCCTCTCCTCTGATGTCCCAATTTGTTTACTGTCCTGTGGCAATAGCTGTATGAGAACTTCAAGCTTTGCAACATTGAGTCAGCCAGTTGTTTTAATGACCCCTGTAGTTCTCAGTACTACAAGGGTGGCATAATGATGCCGACCACATCCAAGTGCTTTACTATGGGCCCAAACCCAGCAGCCTGAACTACAGACATCTGGGACATGTCCATGTGTCACCGCTGATCCCTGCCCACAGCCCTACCATATGAAGGAAAAGAGTGGGACTGAACAGTTCATGTGACTGCTTGCCCCGCAGTCTTCGCAGTGGACAATCAACATCACTTCTGCAAAAAGCCCTGTTCATACTTGAGCTAAGACCCAAAAAGCAGTAATCTCCCTTCCCTTCTTTTACTTTAAAGGTGGCTATGCAGTCAAATGCACGGTCTGCTTACACTGTCTGCCCCACACCTCACAAGTCACCTACCGTGAAAGTGGTGTGGGGACAAAGCCCCCCCATACATTATGGCAGACTCGCCTGCCAAAGCAACCCCCTCTATTACTGCGTACCTCCCTCGCTGGCCCTTTCATCTTTGTCCTGGGCGTCTTCGGCAGCATGATTAGCTGGACCCTAACTATAGTTCAGTGTTCTTGACGGGAAAATTTGAAAATGTTAATGTGAGGTTGTTTGGGTTGTAGAAGTAGTTTTAATTTGGATTGATTACTTTTTACCGTGCAACGTATTTTATACTATTCTGTTAATGTATCTACTAAGTTATTCAAGGGAAACTATAGTGACTTTTTTTTTTTGTTTGTAACTTTTTTCCTTCACAATGCAGGAAATTATATCTTGAGTTAATACAACTCTTGACCTGCCAAAAGGATGGGTGAGCATGTGGAAAGAACCCAATTTCTGGCTTGAAATGAGAATACAAAATGATATGCAGTATTCAATATTTACCTGAAAATACTGCAAGTTAATTTTTTTTATCCCTGGCTTTAATACATTTCTATTAAAATAATCAATTGATCTATATTTTGAGCTACATGCTGTTGGGTAGCAGCTTATCTTTTCAATGTCTGATTCTGTGCTGTATTGGAAGTATAAGGCCTCAAACCATGGAGCTGAAATGGCAATGTGAAAATTGTCTTGCTGTCCATTAATTCTGTTGTCTTCTTTCATTGCAGGAAACTGTTAATACTCCAGAAGAAGAAAAACCTGAGACCTGTCAGGAGATTGTAAACCCTGAGCAGTACATTAAGCATCCACTACAGAACAGGTAGGATTTACATTTGTACCGCTTATTTCAAACTGATAAACACAAAAGGTGAGCACATTCTAACATTAAGCTTAAAAGATTACGTTTTGCTAGTACAACCCCCAATTCCCAAAAAGTTGGGATGCTGTGTAAAATCACAATGTGGTTACATAGTATTTGAGGTTGAATAAAGACACATGTCCATCAAGTCCAACCTAGTGTGTGTGTGTGTGTGTGTGATTTTTAAATACTAAAGGGTCTAAAAAGGAAGGGAGACAACAAGTATTCAAAAAATCAAGCACTCAATATATCCCAAACAGTTCAAATCCCAATTTTTTACGCCACTTAGCTCCCAGGCAATTTGTTCGCCAAGCCCTGTGTAATAGTTACAATACTATGTAACTATTATACATACAGTGTACAATGTATTG